TATATGACTGCGCCTTTTTAAAAGTACCTTATTAGAGCTTTTCGTTTATTTATTTATGAGGTTTAAATAATATTCATTCATCATAATTTAGTTGCTACTGCTTGTTTTGCAGTGTATACGTATTTTTATATATGCACAATCTTGTTTCACATAGTTATCTCTTTTAAGTTCTTCGATTGAAAAAAATTTATTAAACCCTTTGCCTTCGCTCATATTAACAGATGGCTGTTTAAACTGTTTATCGTCAACAGATGGGCATAAAGCGTACGAAATATTTTTAGTTTTATCACCTGATTGATCAAGAAGGGAAAATGAAATTTTATGTCTAAATGGCCAACTTAAAATATTGTCGTGATCTGTCGGTAGTAGATGAAAATATATGGATGCGTATTGACCTGTATTACAGCCTAGTCCGTTTAAAAATAATTGAGCTCTAATTTTGTATCCATAACGACTTGTATAAAATGGTTTGCTATAAATTGAAAGGTTTTGTTTTTTAACTGCATTTGTTATGTGAACAGATACCTCTGTAATTTTCCACATTAGACAACCAGTAAAATTTATATCTTTGTGTTCTAGTAGTTCCTCTTGTAAAGTTATTAGTTGAATTTTCAAGCGATTCATTTCATCTATTAGTTTGCTATTACTAGCTGATATGCTCGTTAGCTGAACTTCAAAATCTCTAGCTGAAGTTTCTAATTGTCTATTAGTTTCATGAAGATCTTTTATAGCATTGTTTTGTTTACAAATGTATTCCTGCAACACTTTTAATTTACTATCGTGCTTTGCAATGACTTTATTTTCTTTTTTAATATATTCGCTTTTAATTTCTTGAATTGATTTTAAAACGTAGTCGAGATGTTTTTCGCTAGCAATATCCATGTGCAAATCAACTTCGAACCTATTTCCCTGAATACAAATAATACAAATTATTATAAATTATAAATATTATTATAAATTATAAACATTTTTATAAGTTATAAGTAATTTTATAAATTATAAATATTGTTCTAAACTATAAATGTTATTATAAATGATGTATGCTCATTTGTACCAAATGTGCTGGACTAATATAGTTAAAAGGAACTTTTTTTTATTATTTTTCTCTCAAAAAAAATAGTCTCAGGAAAAGTCTTAATCCGCCACTGTGGGGAGGGGGGAAACAATACTACTGGGTAGGTCAAATGATTTTACAAATGATTTCGTTTGCTTTTTTCTAAAAACTAACTTTAAGATTATTTGGTTGGAAAATTATTAAGGAAGCGGGGGGGGGGGGAGGGAAGTGAAGGAAAATGCCCCTGCCCCCCCCCCCGGTTGCTACGGGCGTAATATATATATATATATATATATATATATATATATATATATATATATATATATACACGCATACATGATCGTTTTTGTGATCTTTTTGTTTGTTAGATTTGCACACAGTACTTTTAAAATTTAGAAAAAAAAAACGCATTTAGTAAAGAATAATTATAAGTACGGTTACTGCAGAATGATTCTATTGATTCTATATAATACTTTGAAATAAATTTTTCTTTAACACAGTTTTTGTCACTTCCTCAATTTAGTATAAATGACATTCTTGTTCAAAATAAAAGTGATGCAAGTAGGGAACAATCATTAGTAATTGAATGAAATATTGCAATAACATGTCGGTTAACTAATTACCTTTTATTATTCATTTTATGAAAAATATTTTGATAAACTTTAACAGTTTAAGATTAAAAAAGATTTAGCAGTAAAGAATTATAACCTGTTCTGTTTTTTTTTGTTTGTTTTTTTCGATGTTGTTGTTGTTGTTCTTTGAAACTGAACATAATCCTATAGGATTTCAATTGAATTGGGATTTTCAATCATTTCACTGCTTCAATAAACTTTATTTAAACCTTTAAGTTTAATGTTATTTTTCAGAGAACCTACGGTTTGCCATTTTACTTTATCTGAAATTTTTAATGATACAGAGTAACTCGCGCAGCCATATTAGCTATTTGCTTATTCACAGAAAATAGTGTAACAAACTTGCTATGCATGTTCCTGATTTTTGAAAATGCTGAGGAATAGATGGTAGCCATTTATATTTTATCAGTTAAGGGGACATTTAAAAGTAACCGGAAAACAATTAGTTGTTTATTCCACGCTAGACTTATACTGTTTATAACAATAAGTTAATTTAATAACTTTCATGCAATATTATATACATAATTATGTATAGAACTGGTTGAATCAGCCGCCACTTATGCCTGTACTCTAAAGTATCAAACAGTCTTAGTTAGCAGACGGTATTTATAACATGTCATCCCAATGTCAAATAATCGAAGCAATAATTTATCGAAAAAAACTGATACACCTAATAACTTAATGAAATTTTAAAAGACATTTGCATCTACATAGATATGATTAAATTCATTGGTATGTTGCAAACTAGTTGTTAAGCTAGTGAATAGCTCTAGTAACTAATTGTTATTAAGTTAGCGACTAGTTTCCTAATTTTAAATTGGTTAGCTAGTTGCGATCTGTATTCCTATCAGGGAATAAATATATACGTTTTTGAATTGCGCACCAAATAAAGACATGTATACAACATGAAATGATGGTGTTCCGGATGTTAAACTTAAGTTTATGAAACAGCATAAAAATTTGTTAAAACTTCAAACAACTATTAACTTTATTTATAAAAGAAATTCATTATTATTATAATTATAAAAATTATTAATTATTATAAAAAAAAAAAAAAAATTTTACACTTATGCTTTATTCTGCGAAAAAGTTTTTACATATTAAAATAATTATTTTTGAACTTGTTTTTTTTTTTTTTATTTATTTTTATTTCTTATTAATCTTTCTTATTAATCTACTCTTCTTTTTAATCTACTCTTCTTATTAATCTACTCTTTACAATTTTACTAATATGTTTCAAACATTACTGCTATATTAGCGCTCTTCTACAGTTCCTCATTTGGTTCCTTATTTGTTTACGGTTTTTTTTCTACTGCTTTTATGGCTTCTCATACAAAAAATTCTGCTTAAGTATTATTTTAGCTTTAATAAATAAAATTTTACAATGATGTGAAGTTTTCTCTTCAACTATAAAATAAATATATTTCAGTAACTTCAAATTTAGTCAATAGTTTCCATTTTTGAAGCATATGATATTTTGAATGTAAACAACAACTTTTATTGACAAGTAACAACCAATAAGGTTGAAAGTACCGGCGAGTACTCGCAAGTACCCGCAAATGCAATATTTAATAAAGTAATAAGGTTTTTTGTTAAATGTCCAGGAGTTATTTAAAAGTAAATTTATTTTTGACAAAAAAGCAAAATTTCCGTAAACTAAATAATTTAATTGAAGTATATCAAAAGTATATCTTAACTTGAATGTATCAATTGTGTCGAATGTATAGTAACTCCTCATAAAATGAACGAAAAATGTTAAACAAGTTTACAACTTAATTTGAAAATCCATGCTTAACTGAAATTGTAGTTACATATGGGGTTTTCAATGTTTCACAAGCAAAAAAATAAAAACACTCAAAAAGTTTTCATTAGATGTTTTCTGACATTGAGTACTTCTTTTAGATGTTTTGTCATAAAGTACTTATTTTAGATGACGTGGATTTTTTTTTTTGAACGACAAATGACTTAAGTTTAAAACTATTAGTCATAGAATACCTGAACGAGCTTTCAGTTTGCAAATAAAAAAATATGGAAAAATAAAATAAAATAAGAATCATTTATCATAGGCTCCTTGATTGGGGTAAGATAGCATATTATGTATTTGTCATCAACTTTAGTAAATTTATCAAAACTATCAACTATTTTATCTGAAGCAAAATAAACAAGTGTCATAAAAACTTTTTTTTTTGCGATGTGTTAGAAAAAGCCATTTTTATCCACTTTCGACCTAGTCTTCTCTCTTTCTCACTTTCTGTCGTGTCTTCTCTCTATATATTGATAAAAACCTGCTAAAAAGTTGCCTATTAGTTCTCCTCTACATTTTATCTTACATATACCTTTACAAAAATAATTTTGGAAGATTTTAAAAGAAAGAGTAATTTTCAACTTTGTGAATAATTTTAAAAGTATTACCCATCAATTTAAAATTAATAAAAAATAAAAAATACCGTAAATTTGCAACCAATTTTGCTGAACTTGCAGTATTTTAAAGTTTCCATCATATCTTCAGATTTCTCAACAATTTTTGATGCTTCCTTAATTGATAAAAAATATATATATTTAATTATTTTAAAATAATATATTATCACTAGTAAAAAATTAAATAAAACTGTTTAAAATACAATCAAGGTCACAAACAAATTAAATATTAAATGCAATTGGTTTATGTTGCAGAGTTTAGGGTTGAAACAACAACAAATTAAAAAAAATAAGTAGCCTTTACTATTGCAGTAGTTGCCTTTGCCTCGGCTGTAGTAGCCACTTTAATCTTGGAGAAATTTACAAAAACACTAAAAATTTGTAATAACCTCATTAGAAGAAAGTATCTTTCTCGATGATTGACCTTCAGGTCCAGTTCTTGACTCCAATGGCATTTCAATCTGCATTATAACAAATTAAAAATTTTATATAAATTTAATAAAACATTATGACGTTCATGTAAATACTAAGCTTAATTTATAAAAGTACTTTAAAATGATACTAAAAAAGTTGTTTACTTTAGAAAACAAAAAAAACATACGTTATGTGTGTTTTCTTCGTCCTCCTGCATTAGTAAAATATTTTTCTAATGACTCCTCTTTAAATAGATATCTATAATATATATTTTTATATATGATTTATTGACTGTTGGAAATAAATCCCGCTGAAATGTAACAAACATAAACATTTATCCTACTCTGTTAGATTTATCTAAGCTTAAACATGCTATATGACACCTTGTATATAATATCGTGAGAAAAACTTCTAAACGATGTTGTTTGTAAATTTATTATAAAAAATGTATGTAAAGTTTGGAAAATTTCTTTTGTTGGTTTTATTTTGATGACAAAGCTACCTTTATTTTTAACAAAACCTTTTTAAATAGATGCAAAGCAAGCGGGTATTTTCTTTTACAGCGGTACCTTCACAAATTCTTTCCAAAAAATGGGAGTTTTTGTGAGTCAATTATTACTTTTTACATTTTTAGGATTATTTTTAATTTTTTAAAGTTTTTATGGATAAAGAAAAAATTTATCTAAAAGTCTTTGACTTGCAGTTTGAAAAAGTTTAACAAACAAAGTTAGAGTGAAATGAGAGTTTCGAAAAAAAAAAATTTTTTTCCGACTTAAATATCTGTGTAATTACTGTTTTATTGTATTGTTGTGTTCTTTGCTGTTAAGAAAAAAAAAAATCCTGTCAAATTAAATATGCTAGGTCCAATCAAAAAGTAATAAAGTTGTATTTAAATTTAATCCACTAACATTAAAAACTGTAATAATAAAATAATCAAAATTAACAAATTCAAGATTCCTATTTTATTTGATTTTTTATTTTCAGTATTAAAGATCACTATATATTTACTTTTACATCATTTGGGTGATTTAGGGTCAAATACCAAGAAACCTTATGACGTCACTGATATATATATATATATATATATATACACACACACACACACACACACACACACACACACACACACACACACACACACACACACACACACACACACACACACACACACACACACATATATATATATATATATATATATATATATATATATATATATATATATATATATATATTAAAACCTGCAAGTTATTTACAATAGCTGTATTATGCCTCTGTTTTTATAATTTTTTTATTTTGCTGTATGTTTAATTTGTAACTTGTTATTCACAATAATCGCATGTCTCTGTTAATTTTAACACGTTTGTTAACAGTTGCTAATTTTACTAATGGCTTTATTTATAACGTTTAGAACAAACATAAAAAAAGTTTAACAAACAAATGTAAAAGCATAAGAACTTTTAAAAAAGTAATAAAAACGGTCAGCAAAAAAGAAAATTACGTAAAATTATTTTTTTTCTTTGAACAATGCATATATTTAAAATAGTTACAAAATATTTAGCAATAACAGTTGCACCATATTGCCATCCATACAATCCATGCATAAATTTGTTTTAAATTAAACATATAAAAAACATTTAAAAAAAAAACAATATTTAAAAAAATCAGTAACTTTTTTTTCAAGGATGTCAGACTTTTCAATATTTAAAAATATTGTTTGAAACAATTATTTGCAGTAAAAATATTATTACGCTTATCAAATCATTTAATTCCAAGCGAATTCCTATTGTTAACTTTGCTTTCGAAAAAATGTTTTTTATTTGTTAAACTAGTTTCTTTAAACAAAAATTCTATTAATAATTCTTTAAAGATATACAAAGAAATTCAGCGCAGGTATATATATATATATATATATATATATATATATATATATATATATATATATATATATATATATATATATATATATATATATATATATATATATATATATATATATATATATATATATATATATATATATATTAATTTAGAGGTACATTCACCTCTGTATCAATGTTTTTTAAATCAAAAAAAGTCTTTAAAGTGCATATAGATTTTTAAAATAAAATAAAGATAAAAAAGATTGACTTTTTAAAAGTTTTAATTCTATAGATATTTTTGCAGCATTGTCCAGATAGAATGTCTTCGGAAATGAAGTAGTTAATTTATTGTTATATAATAATAGTATCCGGATAATAATCAATTCATCCGGATGGGAATCAACTAACTATAAAACATCAAAATCCGATTTGATTGGTTACAATTAGTTATAAAAAGGTATTTTACAATGTATAAAATATGTATTAAACACATAAAATGTTTTTAATGCAAATTTTTTTAAAATAAATAGGTTAAGATAATAATACCTTCTATGTTTCGAAATATTAAAAATTTATTTTTAAGTTTGTACGCAACCGGATTCACACTATTTAACATCGTATAACAATAAAATGACTTGAAGTATTATTTTTTTATCGCTATAGTTAAGCCATCTTTAAAAAAAAAAACTTTATTAAAGAATTACTATACTATTGTTTCAATTTATAAAATAGGACTGTTTCTGCTAAAATGTAAAAAAAAAAAAAAAAAAATTGTTAGAGTTGCAGACAAATCTAGGACTTCGATATATATCGAGGGGTAAGGTTAAATAATAATAGTCAAAATAAATTGGGAAAACAATACTGCTGTTACTCTACCCACACTTTCATCATCAAGATTCACGCCATAAAAAAAGTTAAATACAGAGAATATATCGTATAACGTATGTAAATTAAAATTTGGCGTGTGAAACCTAATCGCTACTTACTAGTTACCAGACCACTTTCTCCATTTTTTTTTCTAAATAGCTACCGTTTTAGTATATCTATATAATATTTATTTTTTAAGGGAAACTAAATTTATCAACGAAAAAAATAAACTCAGATAAATTCAAAAAGGGCGTTTTTAAAAGTTTAAGATTAAAACGTTAAATCGTTTGTTGCAAACCACTTGTTGGCTGAAATTGTTCCTAGTTACAAATCACTTGTTGGCTGAAATTGTTCCTAGTTACAAATCACTTGTTGGCTGATATTGTTCCTGGTTAATGGTTATATCCACTGCCAACTATCAGTAAGACCACTTGAAAAACAAACAAAGAAAAGTGTTTGAATTTCTAAAATGTTTAATTAGGAAGTTAAAAATTCGCCAAAAAATGCATAGAAGATTAATTATAACCACAAAGCCATTAAAAATATATAAAGGAATATAAAAAAGCCAATTTTATGTTATAAATAAATAAAAAGTCTGAGCAGAACAACCGTATAGCTTTACTTGTGCCGAGCCTAAAATGTAAATGGTTATTACACAACTATGAAAATTTCTATTTTATCGTCGTTAACGATAGCTGCTTTACAGTAAACAATTTGCTTCTAACTGGAGACAACTTTTATTATTAAAAATGTTCGGAATAGAACAACCTTATGACATAAAACATTGCAACTCAAAGTATGGGCTAAAATAATTGTTTATCTTGCCTGAAGGCCAAGTGAAATGGATACCAAAATAAGTGTAAATAAAGTAGTAAACATGTATTTTTACTGTTAATAAATTTTGTTACACTTTTTAAACTCAAATAAATAAACTTATAACCTTTTGAAGTTTCGTTTAAAAAATAAAATACTTTAATACTGTTCATTTGCGTAAAACCTTGCACACATCACACATTGATTATATTATCTAATATATATTATACAAAGTTTACAATGGTTTTCATTTTTCTTTAAAAACTTTGGTTATACTTTTTAAAATATTTTTTATTCGATTTGTGTTATTTTAGCTTATCGACACTATAATTTGCCACTGTTTGCTGGAGAGATTAAATCAATGAACCACATGCAATATTACGAGACTGTGTTATAAATGAAGTATGTAACGCTTTAAAGATTTTTAGAACTTTTGATGCAGTTTTACTGCAATAAATAAAGGCGCAGTAATTTTATAGTCGTATGTTTCCTTCTCTTAAGGCATGCCACTCAATGGTGGAACATATTTTATTCGGCCTGTAAGTTGTTTACTCTTCGTAGTTTACTTTTTAAAAAATAGCTATATCTAAATATATTTAACCGGTAATTTTGTCCACCAGTTAGGACTTATTTCTTAATACTCGTAAAAATTTTATATTTAGCACGTAAATGTTTACAAATGAAACATTTTAAGCTCATTAGTGCAGCTCAGAGTTAATTAGCAAAAACCTAACTACAAAACTAAAAAAAAAATAAAGGCATAAAAAAAGAAAAGAAGCGTTTGGTTTTTTCTTGAAGAATGCGTTAAATAAAACAAGGTTTATTTATATATATAAATTAATAAAACAAGGTTTATTTATAATATATATTACATATATTAAACGCATCGAAGGATTCATAGAAAAAGTATTATTTATTGTAAACTGATTGTATCGCACTCATTTCAACTTCTTCATTTCATTGCCGCACATTGCGCATTGTCAAATCAAAATTTCAAGGTAAAGTCAAAATCAATGAAAAGTTTAAAAAAATAATAAATTAAAGATCAACATATCCTAATCAGCTTATTTTTTGATTTAAAACTTTTCTGAAAATTTTTTTATTGTTGTTGTTCGCTAGTGGAAGTCTATTCAGTTATTTCCTTTAGTTAATAGAATTCCAAAAGCAACGAGCGATTAGCACAACATTTCTCTAATAAGATTTTGATTTCATTATATCATGCTGATTTGGTACAATATTATAAAATTACTCTAAGATAGACGTTTCAGGACTGTTTCTCAATGGATTATTACAATAAGCAGAGCATCTTTATTATTATATAAGCATCTTTTATTATTATTAAAAAAAAAACTGGCAATAAACGAACATTGTTTAAAACGTTTGTGTGATTACAAAAAAACTTTTTTTCTTGAAAATTACTTTATAAGACCGTTATTTATTATCGATCTAAAAGATATACAATATCATTCAACCGTATATTGTGCTAATCTTTCTTTAACAAATCATTACACATCCTTACAATCAGTCATTTTGACGCCATTAGAATTTCAAATAAATCGTAGACTTAAAAAAGAAAATCAAAGAAATCAATATATTTGTATCAGTTATCGTTCAAGCATCTCCATACATAGTTTTTTGTTATTTTTACAAAAAACAAAAATCTATGTATTGCTTGGAAGGCCAGACCTGTTATAAGTATAAGTAAGGTATAAATTTATAAAAAAAAATTTTCTATTAAAACTAAAATTGAAAAAAAAAAAGTATTAAAAACTTTTTTTCATGTTTTTTCATGAACAACTTAAATTTTAAGTATACTTTTTGTAAATTTATCTTAAACAGCATAGTAAAAAAATTAATATAACGACACCATTAGTATCGCTAATGTATACTGTCGCCATTTGTACCGTCAAGATTTTGTATTGGCATTGCGCCAATAAAATGAACGTAACGTATGCTGTTAACCCTTTTATACTACATATATTTAAATGAATACTTATTCAAACATTTATTAGGTTTTAAACTTTATATCCTTATGAGCATCTTCTACGCAATCTGCTTTACTTAACCATGGAAACAATATCTTTATGAAGGGCTTACCTATTTATGGGTAATACGTATTTTTCAAAAATAACATAATAATACAAATAATAGAACTTATTAGTCACAAAAAACTATCAAAGTTGTACAAAGCAAATAATGTATTTATGACTTTGAAAAATTCAAAGATAAAAAATGTTTAGATGTTCATGAAATAACCCTGAAAGGTATAAAAAAGTTTAAAGTTTAAACCAAAAAATTACTTTTCTTACCTGTGTTCACCTTCGCAACGTTTGATACCAGAACAAAGTTGAATATAAAACTTTTACCGCCTTTGAAATTGCTGAAGATTATACTCGTTATTCAATGTAACCTCAGTTAAAGATAGTATAAATAGCTATAAAAATATAAATTTTAATACGACATAATTATCTCTAATCAGCTTTTCATCTGACCTGATTGTTAAATAAACATCTGACATTAGTATTAAATTTTCTTGTAAACTCTAGTTTATTCTGATAAATTAAAATTTATTCTTATATATTGTTGCATAAAACCGGTAAAATTTCTTTAACTGGAATGCAAAAGCGGCAGATAAAAACTGTTAAATATGGCTTTGTAAAACCGAGAAATTGTAACGGTAAAAAATTGCTTTGTAGATCCGACATTTAATAGCCACCAGATAACAATTGTCAAATATTATATTATTATTATTTTTTTATTGTTGAATAAAACGCCAAGACGTCTTTGTAATGCCGTTTCTCAATATTTATCCCATATATGCAGAGGAAGTCTTTGAAATACCTACTATTTGCGATACGAATGAAATTAAAAACCTAATCAACGCCTCTCTAAAGATATTTCCAACACGAAAAAATTTAAAAGCTTTTTTTTTCTTCGTCAATCTTCGCGACACAGGTAAAAACCATCTCAGAATAATAATTAATTAAACCTCTTTTTAATAATTAAGGAAATAGATAATTTTCTTCTCCTTAAAGACTCAATTATAATCACATTGTAATACTTTTTCCAGAAAATTCTAATTAATTTCTTGCAGTGACAACAGAGATTTTTAATATAGAAAATTAACAATAAAATACTAAAAGCACGTGATCAAAAGAACTTTATTAGTTTAGTATTCAATAGAAAGGAGCTTATCAAAATAAATCAATAAACGCGTAAAAACTTATTTTAGGATCGCAAAATAATATTTGATTATGTATTTACAAAATTTATGTGATATATTTATTTACAAAATTTAAGTGAAATATATTTATCTTTAGAATCATTAAATCTAAAAAGTTTTTAATTGACCTTACAAAAATTAAAATGCACGATTAAACAATTGGAGATTTTATAAAACTTACCGGAAAAAGCATCCGCTGTTAAGTTAAGTTAACAAAAACTTCCGGCACAAAAATGCTCCTAAGATTTCGTAATGTTCCATTAGGAATTATTAACAAGGAGGAGACTCCTCTTATAACAATAAAGTTTTTGTTTGCTTTTTTCAATATTTGCTTTATCTAGTTCATTATCAGCGACTTATTAAATGAATTATTTTGATTTTGCTATATAACTGCATTAATAATAGCATTAACAACTGCAGCAACAACAACAAGAACAACACTAATAATAAATTTAAAAAAAAATAGATAATAGAAGTAATTGTTAAAAGCTACAATTAGTTTTAAAAGCAGTAGAGAAGATCGAAGCTAGTAATTAGAAAGTAACAAAAATTATATAGAACCTTTCTAATTAATCATTTCATCGTTCACTATAGTATTGTCAGGATTCGTGCATGCACATGGAAGATATTAGGATTTATGTATTTTTTAGACAAAAACGTAACTTTTGGAACATCGCTTTCTTTTTACTTTACAAAGAGAATAATTAGTCGTTTGAAAAAAAAATTATTGTAAAAATTTTAGTCACAATTGGTTTACTACTTTTTGTCAGACTTTTTTTCAATAGTTGCCGTTTTTAGGATCTATAGACTGTTTATTGAAAAAAAGGCTTTTGGGGTAAGTTGGCAAAATTTTCACGGGGTAAATTAGCTCAAAGCATAAAAAAATATATTTTTATAAAATTAATTTTTTTTATCTTTATTTTTTAACAATACTGAAAAAATTTATTTTTACAAAAAAATGAAAAAAGTTTTTTTTGAAGTTGTTTTTTTTTACAGATAAAAAGTGGGCTACTGTTTTAGCTGTTATACGCACTAATAATTGGTACCAGCTAAAAGTAATATTGAATACTTGCCTTTAAGTTGTTGCCAAAATAAAAAGTAAAAAAATTTCTATAAATTTTGCACTTAATAGTACACTAGTAATCATTTTTATAGTTTGCGCCAACGTACCTCAGGGTGGGGTAAGTTTGCCAACTTTTTTTTTTTTTGACGCCTAAGAAGAGCCCCAAGAAATTTATTGCAAATGAATGCAAGTTAAAGATGTTACCTTAATTCATACTCTTTAAGACTGCGTTTTAATATTTACAAAAAATTTTGCCGTTAGGACTACAGAGCTCAAAGAGAAAAAAAATAGCCCCTGTCTCCCCTACTAATAAAAAAACATCACTAACAAAAGAACATTACAATTAAAAATACATATGAGCAAAAATAAACAATTAATTCTGTACCTCAGAAGTCAAAGGTCGGTTGTCACATTTTAGAAATTGAGAGAGAGGAAATAGTAAAATAATTAGTCTATATATTAAATAAATGAAATCGTTAAAAAAGAGTAATCAAAACCAATAACGTGAAACAAACTTTAGTTTAACGTAAATAAAAGAAATCATTAAAATATATATTTAAAAAAATATTTTATTATGCAACATTTTTGAAATGGACTAAATAGTTAAAAATGAATATATAAAAAAAACTTTGTTTCATATTGTCGTAGGACAACAGTCTTTATACCTCTGTGTAGATACTGAAAAAACTAAGGTCTCATACATAACTCATTTTCACGAAAAACTAGACAACCGACCTTTGTCTTCTGAGGTACAGATTTATATAAAGAATACAGTAAGCCAAATCAAATGAACCATGCTAAAAAAAGCTCAAATAATGAGTAAATATTTTCATTGTAAATAAATAAAAATTGCGTTCATATAATAAACGTATCAAATAAAATTTACTTAAACAACTCATAAAAAATACAGATAATAATCTACCTGTAAACCAGTAGCTCTGCAATTATGAAGTTCAATCTTATATATCTTTGCAATTATGAAGTTCAATCTTATTATATCTCTGCAATTATGAAGTTCAATCTTATTTTATATCTCTGCAATCATGAAGTTAAATCATGAAGTTGTATTTTATATCTCTATTAGACCTTAAACCAAAGATCGTTTCTACGAGCTGGGATAGCTCAGTTGGTTAAAGCGCTGCTAAAAGTTTGGTATAATTATTGGCTGTAGCAGCAGGTTTGATGGTTCAAATGGCACCACCTACTAAGCGTATGAGTAGTACTTCGGTGCGAAGGGAACTCGTTTCGATTAGCTCTGCTATTACGATGTTTCCTTCTCGACTAGTAAATAAATAATCTAGTCAATAAATGAAAAAAAAAAAAGTCAAAAAAAAAGTCATAAAAATATCAACAAAAAAAAAAGTCAAAAAATTTTTATATGGATGAATGAAAACTATAAATGAATTAAACTATATAGATGAATGAAATTATATGGATGAATGAAATTATATGGATGAATGAAAATTATAAATGAAAAATTATAATGAAAACCAAAGCAACAGCACTAGTCTAGCAAATATAATAACAAAAAAGCAGAATTAAACTTAGTAAAAAAAATCCAAATCAGTCTTAAGAAGAATATAAAAAAGAGAAAAAATTTTTATGATTTTGTTAAAGTATGAGTTGAAGATTAATTTAAGTATGCTTTCTTATGATGATACTTTCTAATGACGATACTTTCTAATGACGATACTTTCTAATGACGATACTTTCTAATAATGATACTTTCTAATGATGATACTTTCTAAGACAATACTTTAACTATAAAGAGCAATTAAGAGCAAAACTTTATATTAACAGAATTAAAAATAATGGACCTGTTTTTTTGAGCGTTATTTTATTTGGTAAAACAAAGTCTCTTTACCGGAAAGTTCTGCACCTACATGTCTTGCTTTATTGATTGTTGTATTTGAGGCTTTTTTTACAATATCATAAAACTAAATCAATAATTATCACATCAGATCAAGTTATAACTATAAAAATTTTTTTTACATCAGTTATCATTGCTTTCAAGTTTTTAGATGTTCTTAACGAAAAAAGGTTCTTACCTCATATACAGTATCAAAGATGTACATAAATCTTAAAACTTTTTAGATGTAAACATTGCAAACAATAATGACAAAAGAAAAGCTTAATATGTTTTTATATTTCAATGTAATGGAGCAAGTTGCTAATATGCAAGTCCGGACATTATTAGACTTTCCAGATTCTTATTATGCCAGGACTTGCATATTAAAAATAGCTTCATTGTAATAGTTTTCTTTTGTAAAAAGAGGATCTTTTTAGGAAGGAAAGTATGCTTATGTTTATATTTAATAAATTTTTGTTTCTTTAAACAAAAATAATATTTCTCTGATTTATCATAGTATTATCTTGTTGCCGTTTTACCAGGAAGTTTACCAGGTATATATGGCAACGAGATAATGCTATGAAAATACAAGAAAACTTTGAAATAATTACACATTCGAACCAAGAATGTGTATTAAACAAAAAATCGTAATTGATTTCTAAATGCAGGCATGAATATAAGTTTCTCCTAAAAAAACTATAAAAATAAGGGAGCTTAAATAATAATTTCATTAAATCCCCCCACCTTTTTGAAAATATTAAAAAAAGAGAAGCAGAAGTAATCAATTCTAAAGAATTCTTATAATAATAGTGCATATTCTACAAACCTGTGAAAATTTACAGTAGTTTAAGACATTTACGACTGTAATTTAATTGAAGTTTTATTAATTTGATTATTCATTTCTTATTAGTCTTTATTGATAAAACACTGTGTCAAATGAAAAATTTTTATTAAGTGATTTACTACCAATTTACCCGCCGTCCGGGGCTATCCGACTTTCCCCCATGTATATATACATATATATATATATATATATATATATATATATATATATATATATATATATATATATATATATATATATATATATATATATATATATATATATATATATATATATATATATATATATATATATATATATATATATATATATTTGTAATAAACTTTCACTTAACGTTAACAAAACTAAATTTATTCTATTTCACAAACCAACCAAAACAGGAAACCTTCCTTTAAAATTACCCAGTCTTAAAATCAATAATATAAATATTACTAGGCAAACAACTGTAAACTTTTTAGGTATTATTTTAGACGAAAATTTAACATGGAAGAAACATATAAACACTCTTGAAAGAAAACTTTCAATAAACATTGCAATGATGTATAAAGCAAAACCATTTTTGGATATAAGATCTCTAAAAAGTTTTTATTTTTCCTTCATACATAGCTGTCTAACTTACGGCAATATCGTATGGGCAAGCAACAGCTACGCTAAGTTAAAGAAAATTTATACTAAACAAAAACATGCATGTAGAATTGTATTTGGAGTAAAAAGAACTGTGCCTTGTGAGCCACTTTTACGTAAACTCAATGCATTAAATGTGTTTAAAATTAACATATTCCTCGTCATACAGTTCATGTATCAAATAAAACATGGTCTCCAGCGATATTCTATCCTTATTTTAGAGAAGTAAGCCATAAATACCCCACCAAGTTCTCAGAAAATAACTTTGTAACTCAAAAGTATAATCTAAAGTTATGTTCTTATTCTATTCAGTACAGGGGTCCAATTTTGTGGAAAAACTTTCAGCATACTGTTAATATTGAAGAAAAAACACTTCCGCAATTCAAATCTAAATTAAGACGTTATTTAGTACTTATGGATTTTAATATAGCAGATCTTCTATGTCACTTT